AAAGTGGTCTACCCGTTTCTTGTTTAAACGGATTTTAGCTTTCCCATCTAGATGTTCTTTTATGCGGACACAAAGTGGTCTACCCGTTTCCCCGATATATTCCTCGCCGCATGCATAACATGAGATCAAGTATACTGTACCTTAACTCATGGAATCCCCGTCTTTCCCGTTAGGACAGATCATACAGTTTTCTGAGCTGCGCAAACGATCATAGAGACGGTTGCGAACTAACTGACGGCGCAGGGTGTTGGGTGGGATGTCAATAATCGTTACATAATTTTTGGGTAGTTTCGTTGGGTTAGGGTAGTTAACGTTGGGTAGTTTCCCTAAATAATATTTCAGACGACAGTAGGATCTCCTTTAAGCTGCCCTTCATATCAAACGAAGTAAGTCACGCCATTCAAAAGTGCTTAAGAAAAAGTGGTATTGAAAATTATGTAACGATTATTGACATCCTACCCAATACCCTAAGCCGTCAGTTGGTTAGAAACTGTCTCTATAATCGTTTGTGCAGCTCAGAAAACTGTATGATCTGTCCTAACGGGAGAGACGGGCAGTGCATGAGTTTAGGTATAATATACTTGATCTGATGTAACGCATGCGGCGAGGAATATATCGGGGAAACGGGTAGACCACTTTGTGTCAGCATAAAAGAACATCTAGATGGAAAAGCTAAAATCCGTTTAAACACCCCTCTAGGTACGCATAGGGCACAAAAGCACAACGGCGATGATTTTGAAGTGAATGTGCGGATTCTAGCGCAGGCATCAAAAACATCGACGCGCAAAACTCTTGAGGCGTTGTGGATAAATTTCAAAAATCCAAAGATGAACCGGAAGGACGAATGCCTCACTATCACGCGTAACCTGGCGCCCTATTTCAAAATGATACTTTGACCCCGGGGCGTGTCTTGCTCGCGTCTCCACGTGAACTACGTGTGGGCCAGTCCCGCACGTAACATCACGGTGAGTGGCCTTTCTGTTCAATATGGCGTCTATTTGAAAGTTTGATCTTCATTAATACTTTAACCTTTTTTTCCAGTTTCTGTTCAATATGGCGTTTATTTGAAAGTTTGATCTTCATTAACACTTTAACCTTTCTTTTCCACCGAATAATAAAAATATTCTAACATAAAGTACGTCCAGGCTCTGAGGAAGGCGAAGTCGCCGAAACGTCAGCCATCGATCAATAACATCAAAAACAACGACAACGACAACGAAGATCTGTGCCAACCTCGCGTCAGCTTAAGAAGATCTGTTTATAAGACCACATAAATAAATATATCAACTATCTATGCCGAGGTTTATAGAAAGTCGGTCTTTCGGGTTATCACAAAAGAACTCCGGATATTTAAGTATTCAACAGAAGCTGTATATTACTTGATCACTAGCAGGTTGTGTGATATTGTCCTATCTATCGATGCCTTCTCAAAACGATATTTCAGTTCCTAACAGACGGATTTCATGTGAAAGCTGAGATGGACGAGATAGGCCATTGTCCTCGGATGTGCAAAAAAGTCTCGGGATAAATGATTCTATGAGGATGGAATTTCTTAACTTTCACAACAACATGTGTGTCTCGATTGCTCGTGGACTTTATTTAACAAGAACACATGGAAGTCATGGACCAGCAAAAAATATGTATAAGTTGATAGGTAGATACCAAAATTACTCTCTCATCAAAAGGTTCACGTTCCACTGAACTTCGGCGGTGTTTGTTACACTGAATTTATATTTGTTGAAAATATCTATGATATCTTCGGTGCAGGTGCTCAATCTGCATGAACTGAGCTTGTTGTTTACATCATATTTTTCTGGCAATGGAACTGCAACCTTGAGCGGATTGCCAAAGGTTCCATCGCTTCCTGTTCAACGACGGTGTCAACAAAAATTTCTCACAACGTCATTAAATAGGACTGAAAGCTTCCCAGTGCGAAGGATGTAACACTTTAGGTGATACAAAATTTAGGCTTTTAGGCGGAAAGTCGAAGGTGGGGAACAGGCGGATTTTGTCAACCTTTTTGTTGGATTGTCGGGTACGGATGAATGAGATTCAGTAGTACAGTTTGCGTGCCAACAACACTGTTATCGACTCGCACCTTTCTGAATGGGCAAAGGTAGGCTTATTTTATTCTTCAACCTGATTGTTTTTAATGAATGGGTTTTCCTTCAACGAAATGAAGGATAAAGCTTCCGGCCATGATCAATCCCTAAGGGATGTGCTATGCATTCGACTTCATTAAGCATCGTTGGAGGCGAATGAATCCATATTTGGCCTGTCAACCCCCAAGGAAGGCTTGGTGAGCCATTGGCGTGGGGATCGATTCCACGTCCGACTACTGCGCCACTTCAACGGAAAGCCGTAGCATTACTGCCCTGACTACAAAGGAATCCGTCCCATTGACTAAATGCACTTCTGTTGTTATTGATAAACTGATATTATACACAGATGGCTGTTTTTCAAAACATTCACTCACTTCCAGAAATCTTCCACAATAACAACAACAATTACAAAAGTAATCTAGTCACATAATTTTAAAATTCACCCGAAATAAACAACAAATCCCACGACCGACTTCCTTTAAACCTCGGCATTTCGTTATAAATGCATCATTTTCTTGTGCACCAATAGCGAGGTTCTTATACAGCATACGTTCACTTCTGTACAAAAACCTACACAGTACAACGGTAGCCGACGTTTCGGTAGTATCGCCTTCTTCAGAGCCTGGAAGGGTACATTGATAGGCAATTTACGAGGCCAAAAGCTTCGATAGCACAATCAGAAAGATGGAAACCTATATGGTAATGGCACGATCAAATGCTTGTTGAAGAAAACAAACGGCGCAAAAAATTCCTGAGGTTTTTTCGATATACGCCAAAAATCCTACAATGAAGAGCAGGGAAAGATGCCTAAAGGTCACACGCGATCTGGCTCCTCATCTCATCGATTTTTGATATGGAGTGGTGCAGTCGTCAAGCACATTCTACTGTTATCAGCTGTTCTTTTCTTCCTCAGTGGAAGAGACGTAAAAACGGTGGGTTTCTCGAGAAGCCGGTGATCGTCGCGTAATTATCGTTTAGATTTCCATCTTTCTGTTTGTGCTGTTGAAGCGTTTGATCTAGTAAGTTGCGCATCAGTGTACTCCTCCGGACTCTGAAGAAGGCGGCACTGCCGAAAAGTTGCCTACCGTTTTGTTGTATGTGTTTTTTGTATGGAAGTAAACGTTTGCTGTATAACAACTTGCGATTGCTGAAAAGGTAAACGACGCATTTATAAACAACAAATCACTGTCAGTTGACGCAATAATAGCAATCCAATTACATCTCACCCTCCTTTTCCAGCAAATAAGCACGACTGACATGATGAGGTGCCAGGGAGCCCGATTTACCACTCACATTGAATGTATCGTCCTGAAGTATTATGCATCACATCTTTCGTATGGTTTACTCAAAAACGACGAAGTTAGGCTGTTGGTACTAACTTTGCGGAGCCGAATTCATCACCGCTTGCGCCTACAATGCTGAGTAAGTGTTCATAAAAATTTCCATTCCTTGACAGTGTTCAAACGTGCGATAGTTTTCGAGTGAGGAACAAAGTTTCATTAAAGCAAACCAAAAATATGATGTTGAGATATTTGTGAAACTTGGGTCCAGGCCAGATCCGAATTCGAGTCCGCCGGAATGGACAATCGCAGGTTCGAATCTGGTTCGAGGTCCAAGTTTTGCAAATATCTCGTTATCATAGTGGTTGTATTTCACGTTATACCCTGCAGTGAAAAGCAATAATTGATAGCAAATAGAGATTTGACATTGTATGTTATTATTTATCAAACCGTTCGTCATTTAACCTTGGCATCAATTACCAAAGCGTTCTTGGTTTATTAAGCTGATAAGATGTTCTTTCGGATAGTGTTTCGACGTCTTCGTCGCCATCAGGTATAATGCTCTCAATCGATGGTCCCCAGACATTTGTCTTCTCGATGTGGTGTCTTCATCGTCGTATCTACTCCGATCTTCTTTGGTGGAGCAGAGTTTGGCAAAATCTTCTGGCATTGTTCTTTTATGCAAGATGGCTGTTGTTGATAATGATTGCCTGTTGACAATAATTTGGCTTTCAACGGACAATCGATCCTGCAGCAGTCGGTATTATGCCAACTAGCACAATGAATAGTAAGTCTATTTTTCCAACTGACCATTATTTAGTCTCGGCACTAATAATCAATAACTTTTTAGATTATTAAGCTAACCCACGGTTGCTAAAGATGCTTACTCGGCTACCGATTTGATGTCCTTGTCTTCTTCAGAGCAAATGGCCTGGCTCGATGATCCACAGTCGTTCGTCTTTTCGATGTGCAGTGTTCTTCATTAAAGTGTATTACGTATTGCGTAGCAGTTCGTTTGGAAGTCTCTGTTGCTTCTGTCTTTCAAGACTGAGCTCGTAATTTTAATAGCAAGTGTGCCTCTACGTTGACATTTTTTTATTATCGCAGAAAGTTCTGGTAACAAAGCACCGAACGATGAGCACAGGGTATGAATTTAGAATCAACGAGCAGGTACCTATTGCAGCGTACCTCTAACCAGTGTGGGACGAGCGTTTCAAATTGTTAACACTGAGGCGAGAAATATCGGGGTGTTTCAAGACAGAAATTATTTTATTTCAGTGGCAGTCGTATTGGAACCACCCTGTGGGAAAAAGCGGCAAGTAAGTGCAAATCGAGTCGGGATTGCACCACCTACAAAGAGTCCACCTGCGAGGACAATCTTTGTGTTGCTACGAGAAATTCAAGCGTTACTGAGCCATTCCAGCCCTCAACAGAAAAACATTGCAACCATCCACAGGTGAACCACTGCAACCATCGACGGGCGAACCATTCAAACTAACAGCAGGTTTTACTGGTTTTCTATCTTACAACAAATATGTGCAGTGGTAAATGCATTTTGCAAGCCATCTTTTACTTAGTTCTTACTAGATGCCCTACTGGTAGCGATTTCAATTAATAGGTTTATGAATGCAAAGTCGAAGAAACCGCCCCAAAACACGCGCAAAAATGCGTATTCAAACAGAGCGGGGAACGCGGCGTTGGAGAAAACATCTGGGTGATCGGTGCAAGAGGGGAAAATTTGAAGCAGATGGCAACATCGGTTAGTTCAGATCCCTAAATCAAATTTTATAGGCGACCAACAGGAAGAACCTGTAGTACAACAAAATTATATTATTCATAAAAGTCCAAGGATCCCTAGTACGATATCTTCTTCAAGGCCAGCCAATCGTGGTTCAGCGAGTTGAAGAAAGCAGGAGTACCATCGGAAAACCGTCTCACAACGGAGCTTTGGAATCGTCCCAGAAAGGCAATTGGTTATTATACTCAGGTAGGTATGCTTCCAATAGTATGATCCCGCTACCAAGAATTACCCTAGCGATCTATTTGAAGATGGTGTGGTAACGTTCATATAAACTTAGCTGTGGCGTTGCTTTGTGCCCGAAGATGACACTTGTCGTTTGCCAATATGCACCTCCGTAAGTGTTTTTTTCTCCACATTGGAACGTGCAAAAAGAAACAGTAGTTATTTGAAGTGTTTTCGTGGTAATATGATTCGATCAATGATTTACACCGTTGGCGAGCCATGTCAAACTGACTGCGATTGCCAGTGCGGTGGATGCAGATGTGGTCGCAACGAAGAGCTCTGCGTCAAACCAGCGTTGATCGCAACAATCGTCGCAACAACTTGCTATTTAGATAAATAAAGAGCAGAACTTTCTTGTCTATCTTCATTTGCGGTTTCACATAGACCAGCATCACGAAAATTCAGCTGCGTATTAATTTCTTGATTTATTGTTAGGAGAATATCTAAAGTGAAGCAGGAAGTGAAAGAGGATTTAGTCGTGTACGCTGATCGAGTGAGCAAACCTACCATCGTTTCGTATATGACATTGACATTTTCCTAATGCACATAACTTATCCATCAAACTCACCGTGACGTTAGATACTTCAAAATTCAAAAGAGCCTGTCATAGTAAAGGTTTAATCACTGCCACTTTGTTGGCCAGAACTAATGGAAAGTGACATAAACTTCTGAACTGCTGGATGTTAACAGAAAGCGGAATTGAACTATTATCCACACTGTTGTCGCTCAACACGACAGGTAGCAATGCCTGGCGGGCTTGATCAGCATAACGATTTGTTGAGTTTCAGAGACTGTCACCTAAAAACATTTTCGATTATCTAGCTAACGCGAGCTTGGTATATTTATTCAGCTAACGTTTCGGTGGCTTCTTCTTCAGAGCTGGATTGACCCGAGTCGATGATCCGCAGCTGGTCGTTTGAGATGTGCTACCAGTTAGTTAAATACTTCCACAGTCCACTTAGCCATTTCAAAGCAATATGTTTGCCTTAGTCGATTTCAGTCTCCAGTTGCTAGAAATAATACTACACAGCCTGTGCTGTCAAGGCTTCTTGAGAACTTAATATCGACAGCGATATTAACAATGGCATTTCGAAGTCTTCAGTTTTGGCTCGAATGCTCGAATTTTTGGTACAACTCGAATTTTCCAAAAGAAGGCTTTGAATATTCTAGTACCCAACGAATGGCGTTTGTTATCCGATTAATGGATGAAAGGTTATAAATCCTTGTCATCTGCTCCATATAAGGGAGATAAAAAAGTGTTCTGCGTCATTGAACGAACAGTCAGAGAACACGAAATTCATTCGAGAAAAACCGAAAAAAAACTGGGTTCTATTTCTGGAAACTCAAGTTAACCTATCGGAAACCGGCCACATCACGAAGTGGTAACGAAAACCAGATAACAAAATCATACTTACTCATAACTAGCTCACGCATCCTTCGCATACACACACAAAGGCTCTGATGAGAAACATGTTTCTAATAGGCGGCCCTATGGTGTGCACAAAAGATTAGCGGGTGGAAAAATCCCTAAATTTGAGGCCGAAAACAGATATTTCCAATGTCTACCAAGCGGTACCTCCTCGAGAAAGGCTTCGACAAAGAACTACGTCCTCAAACGATATATTTAGTGAGAATAAATTCATGTTTAAACGAAATAAGGAGAGAAATAAAACGTTGCTTAAAAATGGCGGATCTGGAGAAATTGGTAGCAGTGACTGAAACACCACCGAGTACTCTAAGACGCCAATAAGTTCTTAGGTACCTGGATGTCTGTTTATGTACAATGTAAAATTCCATATTTTGCTCCAAAGGTAGAGACGTTTATTGCACAAGTTCTCTGGTACGGTGTACCTGATCTTATGTAAAGCGGACGCGGTTGAATAAAAAAGACAAAGGATATGGCTCTCGGCGTTGATCAATGCCTGAGGAATGCGCTATGCATTTGACTTCATTATGCATCGTTGGAATTGATTGAATGCATATCTGGCTTTTTCAATAACTCGCAGTGGCTTTCCGATGTATCGAGCCAGTGCTGTTGTCTTCCTATATAAGTCTACTACCAATTGGCTGACCGCGGAGGGATGGAAGGCTTGGTGAGCCACAGGCACGGGAATCGATTCTATGTGTTGTATCGTACGGCGCCTCCGACTACTGCGCCACACGCGCAGTCGCCTCGGAAACACAGGCGCGAAAAACTCTCGAGGCGTTCTGGATTAATTCCAGAAATCCGAAAATGAACCGCAGGGAAGAATGCCTTATTATCACGCGTGATATAGGGCAGTATATAAACTGCTATTCTGATGGGAGGGGCACATTATGCTTCCATGTGATTTCTGTGCGGTTGGTCTCCACGTGACATGCTTAGTGGAAACCACATAGAAAGCGGTGAGTGTGCAAAGCTGTGTTCAGTGTGATTGAGATCTTGGTTTAGAGTTTTTTTGTTTGGTTATGGAGGCATCTGGCCGAGTAGATACTTGACCTTTCCAGGCTCTGAGAAAGGCGAAATCCGCCGAAACGTCAGCTCATTCGTGAATAAAGAATAATTACACCTCGCGTTTGCTCAACAAAAATGCGAAGAGACACATAACTGGCAAAATTTCCAAGTGGAAATGAACCTCCTTGTAGAGGAATCGAAAACTTCGGCCGGTAAACTCTCGAAGCATTCTCGATAAAGTACAAGAGTCTAAAAATTAACGGAAGGAAGGAATTCCTCGTTATTACGCGTGATCTCACATACTATCCAAGGTTTACGCTTAAATGTGAAAGGGGCTCATTAAACGATTTATGTGAGCTTTTTAGATTTAGTCTTCACATTGAAAGCTCAGTGGAGGACTCGTAGAAAAGGGTGAGCGCGTAAAGATGTTTTACTCAAATGTAATCGAAAATTAACTATCGTGGTTTTTCCGTTGGAGTGAAGAAGATGTTTGACTGACTAGCTCGCAGTTACCTTGGTCTTCCTATGCGCTGAGGAAGGCAAAACACTCCGAAACTTTGCCTGTCGTGAATAAATAATTTATAACAGCAACCTCGCGTCAATTTACGATAAAAGAAGCAAATATTTAAGTGACTTAGCTTTTATCTTCTGCATATTTTTTCCTCATGACATGTGAAGTACAGTAATAGGCATGCCGATTAATGATCGAAACTCTGAATCTCTGTTGGGCTTCGGGCCTACGCTTCTTCTTAAGCTTCCTACGTCCACATCAACCGAAAACCTTCGTTTGTGTTTCTCTCGTCTATTTTTCTAAACTTTCTGTGCTTGCAAGACTCCGGACCGCTGGTGTCTGCGGTGGGGAACGAACGCGCTATTGTCCTTTCCGGGGAGTAACGCGTTTACTACCGAGCCATGCGGCTCTTTCGTATCGCATTTCTCTTAGCTAGTTTTCTCTCAGAAACCACCTCTGGAACGGGTAATAGAGTGTTTGATCTCTACGGTAGACATGGTTTGTGGTTTTGGAAATATCTCAGCATCATTGTGGTCGTATTTCACATAGCAGCCTGCCGTGATAAATTGTAGTGGGTAGCATATATAGAATTAACATTGCCTTTCGGGACTATTAGTTCTCAGCATTCAAAGAAGTGCAGGAACGAATAGGAAAAAAACAAATGTTAAGACACTCTACTTTCGACTGCGGCTTCAATTTATCTAGGCTTAATGCCGCTTTTTTCTTATCGAATCATTCCTGTTAACGGTTAATGGCTGATAGCACCGTTAAAGTAAAAGAAATGTCAAAGACAGAGGGAAAACAACGCTTTCACATGCAGCTGTATAAGATAGCACGACAGCACGTGAGCTTGCAACAGGGGTAATCGCGTGTTCGAAGCCCAACTAAACTTTCTAGCTTTGGTCGTATCTCAGCATCTCTATGGTTGTTTTTGGCGACATATTTTACTTCACTCAGCATCAATTCCCAAATTATTAAGTTTAATACTAAAGCGGCACTACTTCCAACACGTCACCAGAGCTTGTTTTTTAACCTGGTTTTAAATTTTGTATTCATTTTGGTAAATCTTCGGCTTCTTTGGTTAAAATATTCTACGTTTAAGAAGGAACAACGGATATTCGTGTATATATGCCTAGGCTGCGGTTTTGCCAGTCATAATACTCTCCAGAAAATTGGTCGCCATTTCGAGGTACTCTGAAGGCAAAGCTTCTACCCCACTAAGACTGAATACCCATCAGAAATAAATACTTTTTCATCGACGTTGTTTTGTTCGAGACCATGGAGAAAAATCGGCGTGGATTATGCAAAGTCTTCAGCTCATAATGTGACCTAAAGGTTTATTTAAAAGCAAATTTTTAAAATTTGTTCCATAGATATAATTTTTACACGAAATGAGTATGTAGAGAAAGTAAATAGAACAGAATTTTATTTAAAATTCGAAAGCGCAACAACATCTTCAATCGTGAGCCGCATCAACTGAGTTCACCACTGTTTGGCTGCGGTGCTGCCTCCAAGCACGCAATTAAGCTCCATGAGTTCAAATACTAAATTGCTCCTGAAAATGCCCTTAAGGGATATGCGATTGCTAAAGTTAAAAACCCTACCTGCTAGCAAAAATGTGTTATTTTTAATGGATATTACTTTACTAAGTTGTTCTCATGAAGAACTGCAGCCGCAAGATTCAAAATTGGCCATGATTTTGGCATATATACCCTCAAATTAACTTTAGGATAGAAAACATCGTAATGAGCTAGCAGCTACTAATAAGCTTACACGAGGTTGTTATGAAGCCTTTAATTCCTCTAACGTCTAAACATTTTCGACTTCATTAGAGCCGTTGGTCCTTATCGCTCTTCATAGTTCATCGTATTCCCAATGTGGTATCTTCGTTATCTCATAGAGTCAGGTCTTCTTCACTAGATCACCGCTCAAAAGAGGCAATCTAACTCGGTGATGTTTTTTTACACACCACAGTGGACGGTTTAGAATGAATTATTGTTTCCTCGATGAGAAAACACGGGGTCAAATTGATTGCAATCTACCCGCCGAACACCTCCGTAACCAAAAAGAAAAATTACTAGACAAGAATTTCAGTCGCATTAAAACAAATCAGCTTCATCAATACATTCGTCGCTTTCCATGAGTCTTCCAATGAGTATTTCAAGTGGTGAGCCAAACGCAGAGAGTTCACATGGAAGCGTAATATGCCTCTCACATTAAAATGTCAGTCGCTAATGCCGCATGAGATCCCTCGTGTTCAAAAGGTATCCTACCTGTAGTTCATGTTCCTATTCCTGAAATCTTTCCAGAATGCTTCAAGAGTTTTGCGTACCGACGATTTCGATTTCTGTGCATGGATGATAAGTTCTGCTTCAAAATGTTTATTATGTCTATGTGTCCTCTGCTGGTTGAGTTTTTGGCTTCAATTCAAATTTACCCAATAGATGTTCTTTTAAATGTATGCAATGGTCCACCTGCTGTGCTAACGTATTCGCCCGACACGCTTCACAAGAAATTAGGTACATATCATCAGAACCCATGCAATCACCGCCTCTACCGTTAGAGCATACTGCACAGTTTTTCATTGCTCACAAACTGCCACATAGGAAGTTACGAACTAATTGACGTCTTGGTGTGTCCGGCGGTATTTCTATCACTGCTACCGATTTCTCTAGACTGGTCCTTCTTCAACAGCCTTTTCTAGCTGCACATATATTATTCGACATGTACGGCAAAAGAAGCCGAACCTTGTTATCGCTAAGTTTGTTGTTTGGCTGCGTGGGTTTTCCGCCACACCTTTCCAGAAGGGCTACCGTTTCATAGCCATAGGAAAAGGCTATTTGCTTCGGCAGTTTTCAGGATTCCTCCTTCTGCTCTCTTCCTGTGCAGATGCTAGTGGCTCTTCGAATCATGTTTTTCACAAATGCCCTTTTTGTGCGTGAGGGATAAGAGGAGAGGTAATAAACCAGCACGTTTTCACTACTTGACTTTCGGCACCATCTCGTGATGAAGCTGTTGATGCTTTTGGTCCATTTCTGTCTCCCTAGTGCCCAAAATATGATGGGATAGCTTAAGATTTCATTAGAGAAGCATCATGTGCTCTTGCAAAAAAATCGATTGGTTTCAGCGTTTTTTCTCTGAAGACTGTAATGAAATGCCTTTTACTTGAAAAGAATACCAGTGCTAATAATAATATAGGCATGTTAAAAATTCTTCCATAACGAAAAACAACAGATGTTCTTCCTCTTGGGCAACAATAGTATTTAATAGACCATGTCGCCAATTTTAAAGCAAATACGTGAACTTGGCTCCTCTATGGGTTGTTGCGAAATGCCAACGAAATTTCACCAACACTTTCAACAACATCCAATACAAGGTCAAGTATTGGATGGCATAATCTTGATTTGCATGTGAGACTGTAGTGAGAAATGCCAAGTAGATGAACAAGTCCTAGAGGAACCGGATGGCTTCTCAACATAGCGTTACTTTCTCTGTCTTCGCATCTCGATATTACCTGTCGGCAGCTCTCCTACATTGATACTTTTACTTTCATTACACGCCTTTAAATCTCAATCATGTGTAATCCACAAGTAATGACGCGGTTTCTTAATCTAATTTCTTTAGTTCTTTGCAACGTTTTTTACTATTTTGTAGTGACAAGTCGTAATATCGGGATAGCTTAACCTCAGAAGCAATGAGAACTATTTGGCACGTCTCTAATTGAAATTCTGGAGGTTACACATCTGCCTGTGCTAAGATCGACGTGGGTGTAGTTCGCCGACTTCTTGTCTGCACTGCGTCAGCTTTCGTATCGATACAGACACATTAATAAAATCAATTAGCGATGAATTTTTGAATTTGTTTTCTGTAATGCGCAAAATTCTCAAATCAGCAAGAATTCAGAAGTGAAGCGACCGGGAGGTAAAATTGAAGCGCTTCATAGTTTCACATTGCGACATTTGGGCTAAAAACATAGTGTACGAAATTCCGAGAATACGTGAGTGTGCCCAGTTAGAGGGCGATTATCTACCGATGGGTAGCTTTTTATAAGAACCAGCAAAAATTAAGCCCCTTTTTCAATAATCGAGATGTTCTCCATGTTACTTGGGTCACCAAATTGCTGGTGGCAAGAGAGAGGAGTGACTCTAATGGCTCAAGCGCTAGTCATTCGAAATAGAACGTACATTTTAAGGATGAAGGATATGGTGGTAGCGCAGAATTTTAAGCATTGAAGAAGTCTACCTTTCATAAAGCAGGCATGAGGAAACTTTTTTTTGATCTACCTGATCTTCTATGCTAACAATTCCTTATCCGCCCCATTTTTACCTTCGTTTCCAGTCATATTTAGACCATTTGCTCTCGTAGTAAAACTCTTCTCTCTCTCTCTCTATAGTTTTTAGTTTTCCAGTTTAGTCTTCCTCTCTCCTATAGCAATAATCTTCAGCGTTCCTTCCTTAGAGCTTTGCTTCTATCATTCTTCAATATACACTGAATTCACATTTTAGGTTCATTCTCGTCAATACGTCGTTCAATTGTGGCATGAAGTTCTGCCTACTTTTTTTAGAAGTAGTGTCAACATTTGCAGGTGTTCTTATTACAGATCTGTTTAAAATTATCTCTTTATTTTTGCTCGTTTCCAAATTTACTACGCGACATATAACTTCAAAAAAGTTTTTGTGTTATTTTACACTACCCGATATCTGGCGTCAACCTCAGTGCTTCATTCGTTCTGTTCCCTCGCATTCATCCATAAAGATCCTCAGATTTCCGCGTTGGTTTGGCTCCTGCATGAAGATTTTGAATATTTTAACGAATGTCATCAAATTGTAGAAAATTTAATTAGATTAAATAGTCTAGTGGATTCCCAGATTCCCATCATAGACAGCCGCCCACTTCTTTGAGTCGTTCTATTCCCAGAGAAGTCCAGTAGCAGTTCCTTAACTCAGTGGGCATGATAGGCATAGTAGGTCAAGATTAGGTGTCGAACCTCGCCCTGAGCATTTTCATTTTTAAAGCGAATGTTTGAGAGTTGTGGGAGTAGCGTGGTGCTTACTGATGCAGTCCATCAGGAAACAAGGCGCTCGTTTCCCCACCTTCCCGATGTTACCCTCCAATCCATGTGGAAACGCCCCAGCTCGGCCATTCCCAAGAATGCAAGAAATCAACCAGCATTCCACGACATTGATAAAGAAGGCAATACCCTCATGTTTCAGCGGAAACAAGACGCGAAATGTTCGAAGTCCTTCGTGGACAATGAATGTGAGGAAAAGGAAGCTAATGAAAAAAGTACTGAGGTCCGTACTGCAGGTGTGATGACGGATTATCTAAAGTAGTAGTAGAGAAATCTTTGTTTGCAGTAGTAAAAACTGATTTAGCCCTTCAAAACTGTCCAATGAGCGTGATTAGATCCATTGTTATTCGTGCTACAGAAGCTACAAGAGATCCGGCAATTCAGATGAGGGTAAGCAGTCCTATTTACTCAATTTTCTTAAGTGATCCGTCTTCATAAATCGTTCGCACCCCGCCGCTCTGTCAACTAGACTAAGATTTAATCCATTGAGAATATTTTTCCACTGGTCTTAAGAGATGTGTTTGTGGTTCCCTGGATGACAGTCGTGCTGTGATTCTGTAGTGTAGGGTTTTCTCTAGACAACGACTACTCTTTACATTGGCTTGCTGCCCATACTCATGAATACTTGAATTCATGAATACATGTCTACTTCTTGAATACATTGACGATGATTCCGACATGTTTTTCTAAAGATTCAAGCACTGAGAAATCCGAACTCCAGAAACTTTTGGGCTTTTCCATAATTACTCATTTTTAGCTTGATACATCTGATAAAACCCGCAAATTTTGTTATATCTAATAGTAGAAACGTCTAACAGATTGTAAAAATATTCAATAGAAGAAAATTTAGAGAAGATAATTATCAAGAATCAATCAATATTGATTGTAGTCAATGAGGCACAAATTGAGACAGACCTCGAATCTCTTAAGCATCTCACTCGATTCGTCAAAAGCGTTAAATAAGGCGTTAACTAATCCATGAGGGGGCGCACCATGCACTCGACGTCGCAAAGTACCATGGATAAAGTGAAAAGGGTATTTAGTCTGCATAGTTAATTGCATTAGCCTACCCATGTATTAAGAAAGTACTTTTAATTTCGCAGACAATTCTAGGATCAATTTGTCAATTACGGAGGTATAAAGGACTTCGTAATCCCTGCGCGTTGGAGTTTGTTTGTACTCTTGGCCATGTCTTATAACCTCTGCTACACGTTGTCGATGTTTAATTAGCGACATTGTTTATTTAGATGATTCGTCGCATCATAGAAGATGTTTCTGGGGGATCGTGGGGTGTGCTCATCATCAGAAATCCCGAACTGGTTTCATACCGTAAGTACAGTTCCATTTCTACTATTCTTCTCTCGCGTTTTCCACTTTTTCCATGAAAATTTGAAAATTAATGTAGAGGTCTTTTCTATACCCACGAAAATGCTTAGCCTGATAATTAATTTTCTTATATCTAATATCTAATATTTCAGAAGTTCACTGGACGATTCCTGAGCACAACAATGTTGATGGTTCTCCTGGATTTTGTCTTTCCGTCATAAAGGGGTAAATATTCTTCACTAACATTCTTCGGAGAGATTGCTAACAAAGATTTTTGTCCGACAGTGAGTGATTCAGATGGCAGTACAACGTTTTCAAGACAGGCTCAAAGGATTATGAGGATAGAGTAACGGTTAACAGCCTTATAGAAAGGTACTATAGTTAGAATTTCTTCTAGAACAATGATTCACCGAAAGATCTTTCGTAAATAAACGTAGATCAAGAAATATTAGGTAATATATTTGGGCAATCTCAGAAACAAAAAGTTTACTTTTCTAATAACTTAATCTGGATTCAATGACGATTTGGGCTCAACAGATGAGCCCCGTTGACGGGTGATTGATTGCTGATGGCACTGGCATACAGAAAAACCAGCTGAGACAAACGCAAAACAAGTGACACCGTGGCGCAGTGTGTAATGCGTGGGTCTCCGGAGAAGGAAATCGTCGTTAGATCTAGGCCGGTGTACAAATTTTGCGAACACCTCAGCATCGTTGTGGTTGATTTCTCATCAAAGGAGTCCCTCAACTACCCTCAGATTTCTGTAACTTTCTTTTATCAGTCTCAATTTTTTCTGTTTTTGGTAAGATAATTGATCAAAAGCCTCAGGCACATCAAAAAAATGGCTTTCACTGAATGACTCAGTGTGTTTATATTTTTGTAATACTTAATTTTATTTAAAAAAAGTCTACAGGAAATATCTTGCAAACCGACTTTCTTTTAACTTCAGCTTGACTAATCAACATGTATTTTTTCATTGATAATCTAGCACGAGGTTAACAAACAGTTTTACTTGACTAACGTTCCGACGTCTCTTCAGTAGGTGATCGAACGAGGCAACCTTAGCTGGCGATGCTCTTTGTACAGTGCGGTTGTTGTTGGTTAGAGCGATTGACTGTTGATAATGGCTTGTTTTTACCTGACATTTCACCCTACAGGAGTCGATATCATTATCAGCTTGCAGAAAGTGTAATAATATTTTGAAAACCGACTTTAGTTTAACCTCGGTATGACTGACCAACGGGTTCGTGTAGCACGGTGGTTGGAGGTATCTTGGAATACACATGGGTTCGATGCAACGCCCAGGCCCACCAAGCCTTCTATACTTCCGTGGTCGGCAAATTAGTAACAAACCTATCTGGAAGGATAGAAGCACTGGTTCGGTAGAACAGCAGGTCATCTCTAGTCACCGTATAGGTCGGATATGCATTCAATCACCTGCAAACAATGCTTAACAAAGTCGAATGCATGGCCCATTCCTCAAGGATTGCTGAACGCTGAGAGTTTTATCCTTCAACATTTATCCTAAATAGTTAAGTTTGAAATGGATTGAGATATCTTGTTTAAATGTGAAAACGCGGTTATTTTTGCATCTTTTGAGTGAAAATCAGCTAACGTCAGACCCTAAGTCTTAAAGAACAAGAGACCTTTAAGCATTATGTGTCCGGTCCCCCTTGATGTGTAAGCCAATTATGAAAGGTTTGTAGACTCCAACATCAAATTCTTCTTATGACTTTTTCTCTTGAAAACGAGGCAATTAGCAAATCCCTAGTGTCTAGTGCAAATATAGGAACGTGAAACTGAATTTAAAATCAAAGGTAATGATGCTGTAATTGCCATTCACTGCCTATCTTCTCTTATAGAAAAGCATTATGTGTTATGTTATTATGTGAAATACACAATAAGTATGTTGATGAGTTATGAGCAAAATTCATAATCTCTGTTAGACTTAAAACCGGCGATTACCCTTACCGGGGCTCACGTGCTATCCACCACACTGGTCGAGATCCCTGTTTTCCATTTTTCTCGGCCAGTTTTAACTCTGTTGGTGCTGTCGTGCTCCCCAGATCATTGACATTGATAGGCGGTTGCTGACATCACCAATAGGGTAAAAAATTGTTTGAGAAAAAAACAATGTAAACGTTTCGGTTGGTGTAGTGGTTAGTGCGTAAGCCCCGGAAAGGGTAATTGATGGCTGGAAGCCCAACTGTGGTTCCAAGTCCAGCTCATGTTTCAGCATCCTTATGGTTATTAAAATTATTTCAGACTAAGACTGGATACTGACAAACCGAAGCCAAGACGTATGACTGTGAAACAATTCGATCAATTGCTTGCCAGAGCACTTCAGATCGGTGGAGTTCAATGAAAAAATTATTCAGATGAATTCACACAACACAGCGAAGCAGTTACTAACTTGTTCCTAGGCTACAAGAAAACGTAGTTAGGTGATCTGCGACTCTAAAGAAGAATAAAGACTTGCTAGCCGTCCTTTGTTCCGGTTAAATTCGGTAAATTACTTTTTCGTAACAGCTCTATCATAAGCACTTCTCATTTGATAAGCTGTAGCTAAAATGTCTTCGTATTCCATCACAGTCTTTTTGCTAGCAGTGGAATGTGTTCATACTTATTGTTATTGCTGAGAGATAAAGAACGGCTGGTCAACCTCTTAGGAAAAGAGAGCTTAGGAAATTCGTAGAACTAAGAAGGGCCGCCGAACTATTAGGTTATTCAAAAATAAATTTTTTCCATTTTTAACTATATTATTCAAAACGTCATGATTTGCCTCAAACACAACCTCATCGATCAAAGTAAAAAACATTTGAATTTGCACATTTTTGATAACGAGAAACAAGTTTATTTATTCCATTTGCATAATATTCTGGAGTTCTGGCAAGTCCCAGTATTTCTTCAGTTTTCTTTTATCGATCTCTAACCGTTATCCATAGAGGCGGATAGAGGTGATCGGTGGATTTCGATTTAACTGCCAGTTTTGGTCTTCATTGATATGCTGATGCGCGTCATTCTCCTGAAAATCTGAGATAATCGTGCTTGGATATTCTCAGGTCGTCACCTGGTTGTCTTAGGCGTTTGTGAACCAGTAGTAAATTTTCTGCCTTGCTACTGAGATTCTTCCACGACGACAATGATTCTTATGAAAATTACGAATGTCACTACAAATGACCGATAGGTTGATGACGGTGCAACTATCCAACGAATTCACCTGAACATTGTTAGTTTTCTTATGGGGCTTGTTCGCTTCTGTTTTAAGGTGATTGTTCACCTATATGCTCCTTGCAACTCTGATCACAATTACAGTTCCACCTACATCTTCTACAGTTATCACGTAGTACCTACTTTTGTTCACCTACTATTGTTAAAACGAGATATTACACATAGTCATTTTAAATCGGCTTTCTTTTGACCTCTGTATAAATGATGAACAAACCTTCTGTCACTGATAAAGAATCATATCACGAGGTGGTTATCAAGATTTATTAGGCCAACGTTTCGACCTCTTCATCTTCCTCAGAGCGACTGTGCACATCGACTCGGGTCGTCGGCTTTGAAGAAGACGAAAACATCGAAACGGTAACCAAATAAATATTGCTAACAACTTCGTGTTAGCTTGTGTTAGCTTGTGATACATAAACTTTTCCCCTATTGCCTTGTGCTGTTTTCACTGGTCATTAGTTGTACTCCATAGCGTTATTACCAATGTTTGGAATTTTCAAAAACATTTGACAGTGTGCATTTAAAAGGTCGTTATTATCCCAAATAATTGCGAACATGTGTACTTAGGCTAAACCCTAAGTTCTCGTACTGTCAAATCGTTTTCCCACACTATTCAATACATTTCGTGACAGCTTGCACTCTTCTATACCGTAATGCTTTCTCTAGGTTGAGGCAGTTATTACAGTGAACATCGACGATGCGGAAAGCCTGTTTATGTGACACGAATAATGAGAATTGAAAATGTGGAGAGCTGATGAACATACTGAAACACTATGAAATAGCCTGGTTTCTCTTTTTTGTTGTATATATGGTGGAACTCGATCTGGAGACGCTGGACGCCCTCACCATGTTTTTTTTCGATCTGCGCTAGAACGCTCTAGTCATTATAAGTCCTACACTTTTATTCTTCTCTCGATGTTTTTCGATCAACTTGTCTTTGCTCAGTTATATGAACAGATCATACACACCATTAAAAAATATCCTTATTGAGATTCGACTGTCACCCGTCAACGGAATTGATCTGGGGAGCACAAATCGGCATTGAACCCAGTTAAGCTGAGGCTTAGTTATAAACACATTGTGATTGCTGATGGCAAAAGATCAATAGAACTAGCTGAGAGACAGTCAAGACGAAGGACCCGAATGGTGTGGTGGCGAAGTGCGCTACTCCCCGGGAAGGACAATAGCGCGTTCGCTCCCCACCGCATACACCTGCGGTCCGGAGTTTTGCAAATATCTCAGCATTATATACGAGTTATATTTCACAACATAACCTACCATAAAAAGAAAAAGACAGTTAATAAAAGGGTTAAGATTGCCCTGTGTTAGTTGATTTTTTTTTGTTATTATGTGACAAATTACATGGTAAAAAGATTCAATCCTCCCAACGGTTTACCGCCTCATCGCGGTTGGGAGGTGTTCCTGGGTGTCGGGCTGCGATGTACAGCGAAGGCTTTCATACACTTGGCAGAGTCTCCCAAGCTGAGGAGTCCGGCCTTTCTATTAGAAAACCTAGCTAAGAGTAAACCAACACCAGGTTCCACCATCGTCGTGGTATCAGAGTCGCATGTTGGCGAATCTTCTGATCCACAAGGGCTGCTACTGCCTGTGGTGGTGAGGACCTGGAGTAGACTTTGCCCAGGGTGACCTCGGGATTCCAGGAAACATTGGCTTAAGCAGCAAATCTCCGAAAAATGGTGATTACGCTGAGGCCTACACAACCGGTGAGGACGGGCCGTTCAAGTACCAAGTAAGTAACGGTAAGGACAACAGCGCGTGTTTGTTCCCCACTGCATACACCTGTGGTCTGGAGTTTTGCAAATATCTCAGCATTTCATACGAGTTATCAAGTAAGTATCAAAAAGGTTTAATATTCGACACTGATAAGACCTTTAGGGAGTCTGCTTATATTCAGTTTCGGTAACCATAGTAAAGATGACTGAATGCATGTTTGGAGGATATATATAAAGTGGTGAATTTCTCGGCGTTGATCAATCCTTGAGAGGTACGCCATGCATTCGATTTCATTAAGCATCGTTTTGGAGGTGATTGAGTGCAAATCTGACCTTTGCAATGACTCGCGATGGCCTACCGATGTTTGAGCCAGCGCTGCTATCCCCCAGACAGGTCTGGTAACGATTTGCCGACACTGGGACGTCACCCCATCATATCAGATGTAGTTAGTTTAACACCTATGTGGGGTATAACTCCATTTCTAAATATTGTCAGTGTTTTATACCCAGTAAATGAACGATTATGAACAACTGACGTTAGCATGTGAATTGTTACCGCCTCTGCCAGATTCGAAGAACGCCTTACCACTTCAAGCCAGATTTACAGCCTTCAAAGAATTTTCCATTAGCACAGGTAACGCTGAATGAGCAAATTGATTGCATTTAAAGCATTTCTTACCGTAATTGTCAGTGAAGATTTTTTTTATTACACCGATAACTTTTCAATATTAATGCAATGATTATAAGGGACTAGGAAATCCAACTGATGAGTTCGCTTTCTCATCTGACCTGGTAGAACCAGCGCCACAATAAGTAAAAAAAGCGGAAAAGAGGCAAACTTAAGATCAGGACAAGAAAAGTGCAAATTTTAACGCGCTTTAGCAAACACATAGCCAAAATAACCAGCTTAACACTCTGCTTTACTTTACAACTTAGCATTTTGGTTTGTTTACTAAAGGGCCACACAGTTCGACATGTTTGTGACAAATGGCCATCTTTTAAAGCCATGACGTAGATTTCAGTGTTTATGTAACGAAAAAAATTGTTAAAAAGAAAAATTTCTAAGTCGGAAGAGCACAAAAAAAACATAAAGCTAGGAAGAAAAACGTATTGAAGATCCTCCCGGCCAGGCTCTCATTAAAGAGGTGGCGTGCAATATAAGGTAGGTGCTGTAAATGATGGCTACATTCTAGTGATGTGACTATATCGGAAGTGGTATGATATTAATCGGCTTATAAAAGGTCTGCAAATTTTTTCACCTTTTTTCTATAATTCCTGATGTTGGTGCTCGAGCAGCACAGCAGCTTGAAGTTTCCTTAGTAAACACGTAGTGTCTGGGTCATTCACGCGCCCAGGACTCATCGAGCCTATGAAAACTGTAATGCTTCGCTTACCATACGGCAAATAAAATTTTCTTGATGAGATTGAAGAACAATAGCTGATTCATTAATGGTAGACACAGACTAGGTATTATTATTAGTTACGAGACTGTAGCATTTGAGACGTCATACCGAGACTATCCGTCGGAGGTTCGAGTTGCGATAGAAAGCATGAAAAGAGGCACAGCCCCATAACGGAGATCACAATTTACATGCACTTTTCGCAGAATATATGACAAAATACCTTCAAAAAGAAAAAATTCCAGACCAGTTGAGGACGTCGCGCACGGACATCCTGCCTAAGTAAGGAAACCGAAGGAATCTTCGTAACTATCGCCCATATGCTTGTTAAGTGTGCACTACAAGCTTTTCACAAAGATTAACCTCTCGCGCATATCAAGGCCATTGGATGAGGCGCAACCAGTCGAGCAATCAGGATTTCGAAAAGGATTTTGCTGCATGTACATACCACATCCAAACAGTGTCCAGGGTCAACGAAGTTTGTCGGGAATACCACTTGCCTCTAGTCCTAACCTTTGTCGACTATGAGAAAGCGTTTGACAGTGTCGAAACAAATGCAATCCTATCAGCGCTCCTCGACCAAGGAGTTGACCCGTCCTACATAAGGACTCTGTCCGACTGTTATTGGAACTGCACAACGAAAATGCAGCTTTCCCATCGACCTCTTACCATAGCCATAAGAAAAAGGGTTCGACAGGGCGACACAATGTCGCCAAAGCTGTTCAATGCCGCACTGCAGTGGATATTGACCACCTCGTACGTTTACTTTGGGCGATCAGTGAACATGGAAAACAACATGAAGGAGGAATTAGATAGAAGAGGGAGAGCAGCTCGGGCCACATTCCTGCCTCTCAAAGAAGCCACCGAACAACTAAAGGACCTGAAAATCCGCGCTCATCTCTTTGATTCTACGGTCCTCCCAGCTCTCTGTTATGCTGCAAGGACGTGGGTTGATACTTCAACTACGTCAAGAATGCTCCTTACTACTCACAGAGCACTTGAGCGATGTCTTCTGAAATATAACTGGCACTCTCAATATTTAGCTGGAATGCGAAGCTCTGACCTTCGAAATCTGTCACATCTTTGAGATGCAAGAGAATATACATCGATTGCAAAATATAGATGGGCCGGCCACGTAATGGGAAGAACAGACGACAGATAGACGGAAAAAACTGTAGAGCGCATTCTACGAGAATGCAAACATTCCCTAGGACGGCCACCCACACGTTGGGTGAACGTGTTCGTAAACAAAGTTAATCACCCTTATCAGGCAGCTGCAGTTATTTTACAGGTTTACATTGTACGAGCCTCGCACGCGCTACCATGCTCGAACAAGACCACCACCATGGACTACGATTGCGAGAGAAAGGAACGATTGGCATGTGTGCTAGGGTCCGCACGGCTTGTGAAGACGGACCGTCAAAGTATTCAAGTATACCGAGACTTAACTCTTTTATTTACTGCCTTTTTCTTCTTAATGGCAGGGTATGTTGTGAAATATAACTCGTATGAAGTGCTGAGATATTTGCAAAGCTCCGGACCACAGGTGTATGCAGTGGGGAACGAACACGCGCTGTTGTCCTTACCGGGGAGCAGCGCACTTCACCACTACACCATCCGGGTCCTTCGTTTTACCTGTCTATTTCGCAACATACCCTGCCATTAAAAAAAGGCAGTAAATAAAAGGGTTAAGATTGTGAGGGTCACCCGGATGGTGTAGTGGTGAAGTGCGCTGCTCCCCGGTAAGGACAACAGCTCGTGTTCGTTCCCCACTTCATACACCTGTGGTCCGGAGTTTTGCAAATATCTCAGCACTTCATACGAGTTATACCGAGACTATTTGTTGTCTATCATGATTATTTCTTCATTTGTGGTCGTAGCTTTTCCACAAGTCATTTTTTCTCCGTTCAATTTTAAGATACCTTTTTCAGTCTTTTGCACGACTAACGATATGTGTTGAACCTTTATAGTGCCACTGTTGACAATGTTCTTTTTTTGGTGCTACGCTGGTCACTTTGGAATTGGTAACACCAGTAACCTGGATAGTGGAAATCGACGAATTTTGCAACAAGACGTTTAAAGAAATGCTCGGATAATTTTTTTGACGGTGATTACCACGATTCATTGCTGTCATCCTCTGTTAAGTTTTAACGTTTGGTGAAATAATTTTCTTTTGTTGTCGATCAGCTGCTAGTAAGACAGTGAAGTAAAGTACTTTCTTGGAAATAGAAATCGCGGTTCGATCTGATCTGGGGACCAAGTTTTGATCAAAACAATCTCGCTGACGGATGATTGCTGATGGCAGCGCCAGGTAGAAAACTAGTTGAGAGAAAGGCAGCACAAAGGCCTCTGCTTGCGCACTTTGTAATGCGGAGCCCCAGGAAAGAGAAATCGTAAGTTCATCTGGCCCAGAATCTAAGTTTTGGCGTTCCTCTGCTTTACAAAAATTATCCACACTCTTGTAAGCTCAGGGAGCAGTTCACCTCTTCCCGAATATCTTTGGATTTCAGAACATGGTCGCAGACATCTCATGAAATAATCTCAGATGATAAACAGAACAAAACGTCCAGCTTCCTTCAAATACTTACAGTTTTGCTCTTAAATCTTTCAGCTGTTTGATGGAGATTAAACGAACAAATTTTTGCATGAGTAAGCCATATGCCTGGGTTATGTCAAAAATCAACCTGAAGTACAATGCGAGAAAGGCCGGGATGGTGTAGTGGTGAAGTGCGCTGCTCCCCGGTAAGGACAACAGCGCGTGTTCGTTCCCCACTGCATACACCTGTGGTCTGGGGTTTTGCAAATATCTCAGCATTTCATACGAGTTATAATGCGAGAGTTGAGTCAGAAATGGTGGTCGGAAGACAGTCCTCCCTGCGCGTTCATTTTCGGGTTTTTGAAATTTATCTAAAACGAGGTGCTATTTTATTGCTTTACTTACGTGCAAGCTGACGTTTCGGCAGATTTCGCCTTCCTTAGAGCTTGGAAAGGTCAAGTTGACCACAATCTACACGGCCAAATGCCTCCACAACCAAACGGAGAAAATGCTGAACCAAAATTTCAATCACATTGAACACAGTCTTTGCACACTCACCACTTTCTATGAGTCTTCCATTAAATATTTCACGTGGAGACCAACCCCACAGAGTTCACACGGAATCGTATTGTGCCCATCTCATCAAAATAACAGGCTTATATACTGCCCAATATCACGCGCGATAATGAGGCATTCCTCCTAGCGGTTCATTTTCGGATTCTTGGAACTAATGCAGAGTGTCTCTAGAGTTTTCGCGTTTGTGTTTTCGACTCCTACTGGCGACTACTGGCGCTTCCAACTTAGACATGAAAGCAATGACAAGCTTGGTGCCAGTCGTTGTCCCATAGCAAGCGCTCTCATTTGCGCGTAATACCTCCCGGACCAACTGAAGACCACTCTGCGTACGTATAAAAAACACCTTGTTGGCAAACGTAAACCAAATACTTTACTAGGCACGCTTAGGACGCAGAGACATAACGGAGAAGATTTCGAAGTAAGGGCTACGATCCTCGCACAAGAATCGGGAACACAAGCGCAAAACTCTAGAGGCATTCTGTATTAATTCCAAGAATCCGAAAATGAACCGCAGGGAGGAAGGAATGCTGGGCAGTATACAAGCCTGTTATTTTGATGAGATAGGCGCTATACGATTCTGTGTGAACTCTGTGCGGTTGGTCTCCACGAGACATATTTAGTGGAAGACTCATAGGAAGCGGTGAGTGTGCAAAGACTGTGTTTAATGTGATTGAAATTTTGGCTCAGCATTTTCTCTGTTTGGTAGTGGAGGTGTTTGGCTGAATAGGTTGCTGTCAACTTAACCTTTCCAGGCTCTGAGAAAGGCGAAATCCGCTTAAACGTCAGCTTGCACCTAAGTAAAGAAATTAAGTAACACCTCGTGTTTGCTGAACAGAAATAGAAAGAATTATAACTCGTATGAAGTGCTGAGATACCTGCAAAACTCCGGACCACAAGTGTATGCAGTGGAGAACGAACACGCGCTGTTGTCCTTACAGAAAGAATTATTCAATCAATGTCGACGTTAATAGAAAGTAGGACCTAGGAGTTATCTAAACGCTTCTGGAGTTTTACGTACTGATGTATGGGATTTCCGTGCAAGAAGAGTAACTTTTATTTCAAAATCTTTTCCGTCTTCTCTTTATGCTCTATGCACGCCTAGTATGGCGTTTTGTTCAAATAATGTTTTCCAATTGGGTGTTTTTTTACACCTACACAATGAGGTACACCCCTTGGCTAACTTATTTTTCGCTGCACGCTTAAGAAGAAATGGCACACACCCAACCCAAACTCATGCAGCAAACTTTTCTGCCTTTAAGGCAGATTATGCATATTTCTGTTTTACACAAACGGGCGCACAAAGAGTTACAAACTACATGAAGCTTTTGATTGTTCCTTGGCGCTTCAATCTTTTCTACCGAGTTTTGCTCTATTCCAAACATACATGCGAAATACCTCTAGGGCCATCTGAAGATTGAGCAGTTTAGGCCCTACTTTAAGAAAGCCGTGAGGTGCTGAAATAAGCTATATGTGTTTATAGCCCTTTCGTTCTCCATAACAAGCTCGCAGATGGCTTTCATTCCAGAATAGTTCGAAATGCTTGTGTAGGGTGATAATGTCGAACGACTCCATCACGTAGGCGCACTTGGGAGCCGAGTTACCCAAACGATCTAGAAACATTTGGATATTCACGTGTCCACGAGATAGGCTGTCTTTCTTAGGCCACGAAAGTACTTACCTGAGTAGACTACCAGTTAATTTGACGTTTCCAGGTTTCAAGGAAGGTGAGAACACTAAAACAGCTACTATTTAATAAATCTTGTCACTGAAAACCACACGGAGCCAATAATGCAGTGGTACTGATGCCGCAGGTCACGAGTACGGTGCTCGTTCGGCATCGAGTTGACTCACCAAATCCCTCCTCTCTCGTTGGTAGAAAATTTGATAACAGAGTTGTCAGGTGAAGGTTCGCTATCTGCAATCCAAGTGGGAACGCTCTAGAATGGCTCTCGGAACTCCAGGGAGAATGGACTCGGCCAGCCCTAAAAGACATTCATGACTAAACGAAAATGCGGAACAGCAGTCCAACACACACGCAAAAAGTTAGAAAACTATCTTGGATGAAGGTTGTGAGGTAACCAATGGAATGAAAGGAGTGCGGAGTCCGCACAATAGATATAAAAGAACGGTCATTAAGAAACATTGAAAACAATTCGATAACCTCGTGTAAGCTCTAGAATAAACCATCTACTTAATGAATAATCTGATTGATAACTTGTTGTTCATTACATAATATGCTTGGTCCGGACTAGTAAACTGGTGGTCATTACCACTTCTGGGGTCTAAAGAGATCATATTGACTTGTAGCCGAATTGAATCAGTTATGTATTGTGCAGCAACTGTTAGCTAATCCCTAAGCCTACAAAAAATCAATGTTGCAGTAGCAACGCACGTTGTCAACAAATTCTCATGATCTGCGTATAGTTTAGATATGCGCCAATACAAAAACATTAGCTTAGAATGATTTTCATGCTGTACTATCAGTAAAATAGATAATTATCATCAAACAAATGCGGGGAAGTACTGCTCATTTTTTAGAAGCATTAGTCATCAGATAGTTGGCAAAAGTTGGTAAGTGTGAGCAATAGTACGAGTGGAAATTACATTTTCCTCTCATTTTAAATGGTGTTATAGGTTTTCAGTAAACTAGTGAATGGGTGACGAATACGAGCAACTAGGACCGCCTGGTGAGGCACCACCTCCAGGACTAGGGCCACCGGGTGCAGCTCCACCACCTCCACCACCACCGCAACCACCACAGCAGCCTGAAACCAAACCGCCACCGGCAGGTGTCATTAAGAGCTCATCCAGCAGCCAAGGTCAAAAAATGTTTGGAGAAAAACCAAGCAAAACAAGGTTAGATTTATATGTTACGAAAGTTTTAATGAATTTCTGGAAAAATTTTAAAAGTATATATATATGCATTTATGTATATGGGTATAATAAATGAGTGAACGTAGAGACGAAGGTAAAGCAGAGGTAGTGATGCTGTCCACAACGTACACTGTCATAATTATGCTTCGTTCCGGATCAATTAAGCCTCCGTTCCGGATTCGGTAAAAGGCGCCAAATTAGTCTTCATCAGCTTACCCCTCTAATCCACTAAATATTGAAAACCTCTTACAGCTGTTATCCAAAGGTTACAAGGAGAATAGGCTGGACCAGCACAGAACGGTATTTATAAAGAAAAGAAAAATCATCAGGAAGAAGGCAACCCAAGTCCGAAAGTTTGAAAACATCCATAATTAGTGCTGGAATCCGGAAAACATAGGATGGCAAAAAATGTGTTAAGTGCTCAAAATGTTTTTATGATTAAACGACACAGTCGTTAAAGGTGCCAGGCAGTCGGTAGAGGGTGTGATCCCAGTCCACGGGCTGACCAAGCCATCCATCTCTATGGGTGGCTAATTGTTACCAGAGCTGCATACAAGGATGAAGGCACGACTTCATATATCGGTAGGCCGCCACAAATTATTGTATCGGCCGGATATGCATTCTTTCAACCCTACGAAGCTACGAATTGGTCGAATGCATAACATCTTCTAAAGATTAATTAGCACCGAACGTCCCATGATTGTGATTTCATAAATATATATGTATTTATATCTATATATATAGATATGCATATAAAATTTAACTACTGTACTGATTGCTTAAAAAATATTACAGAAGGAAAAAAGCAAAAATACATGGAAGGAAGATGAAAAGAGGATAAGAAGATGATTCAGACGTCGCATCTTCAGCTACACAAGCTGCACCACGTGCATCACAAGTAATTGTTTGCTGTTATTGTTGCTTTTTATGTTCAAGATGGTATTTTTATTGCCATTGCTAACCGTTTTTTATTAATCAGCATCACGTGACAAAGTAACTGGCAAAATATGGCACCTTTACAAGAGTTTGTTTGTTTGTTTATTTATTTTATGCAATGTATTCTTAGTTGTATCGTCAGATGTGCAGAAGTACCACTGGTGCTGGATAATGTTAGCACATAACTGATTGTATAGATTGATATCAATGCAAGGAAAGGTGTGTGTGCGTGTGTGTGTGTCTGTGTGCATGTGTGTGTGGATGTGTGTGTGCGTGTTTGTGTGTCTGTGTGTATGTGTGTGTGGATGTGTGTGTGCGTGATAAACATGCGATAAGCACAATGATAATAGTCTCAATCTGAATGCAACACAGAAAAACCTGAAGGTGTAGCAGAACGAACATTACTTACACCAGTTCGTTCTATTTCTGGGTGTTAATTCTGGCCACATATAATTTTCGTAGTATACTTTTTCTGTTTATGAGATCTACACCTTATTTGTGTTATACGAGAGTTGTTCAAGTGCTGTATATTTCCTACTATATGAATTATATTTTGTGATACCTTTTTTGTTTTCTGCCTACTATAATTTCGCGGCAGGGTACTAAGCGAAATACAACCACAACGTTGCTGAGATATTTGCAAAACTCTGGACCGCAGGTGTCTATGGTGAGGAACGAGCGCGCTATTGTCCTTTCCGGGGAGTAACGCGTTCACCACCACACCATGCGGGTCCTTCGTTTCGCCTGTCTTTCAGCTATTTCTATCTTTATCTTATTTCTATCTATACTTCGCTTAGTACCTTGCCGCGAAATTATAGTAGGCAGAAATTAAAGAAGTATAACATTGTGATTTCAACTACAGCCGCAGCTTAACTGGGTTCTATGCCGATTTGGGCGCCCCAGATCAATCCCGCTGACGGGTGATTGCTGTGGCAAGGGTCGATAGAAATAGCTGAGAGACAGGCGAAACGAAAGACCCGCATGGTGTGGTGGTGAACGCGTTACTCCCCGGAAAGGACAATAGCGCGTTCGTTCCAAACCATAGACATCTGCTGTCCAGAGTTTTGCAAATATCTCAGCAACGTTGTGGTTATATTTTGTGACTTATTTATTTTTCGGAAATGGCAGTGTAGCGCAGTGTTCGGGGGCGCACTGCAACATACACGTGGAATCGATTCCTGTGCCCATGATCCACCAAGCCTTCCATCCTTGCGGGATCGGCAAATTGGTACCATACTTGTGTGAGAGGATAGCAGCATTGGCTCAATTCAGCGGTAAGACACCGATAGTCATTGTGTAGGCCAAATATGCATTCAATCGCCTCCAAACGATGCTTAATGAAGTCGAATGCATTGCGCATCCCTAAGGGATTGATCAACGCCAAGAACTTTTAGGTCTTTTATTTATTTTTCGGACGAGTTTGCTTGTTTCATCAAGAGAGCTGTTTTGGTGAAGAGGGTACAAATATAAATCTACTGCAAGAGGGCTACAAATATGTAGAGTGATAAGATCTCTCCACTACATAAACGTAAATGCAAGTGTGCCATACTCAGACCTCCTATTATGTATAGGCCTTTTGAGCAGATGTAACACAAAAGCTGTTGCTAAAAGGGCACTCGATTCCCGAAAGAGGAGAAGGACAAAATGGGCTGTTTGCATTCGGTTAAGTGGATGGTGAGTTCGGAACGAGAAAATAGCATCGTTCCCATTAGATAGTAGTCGAAAATTATGTGTTGTTGAGATTATGTCAAAAATGTCATTTAAACAGGCAGCATCAATGTTTCCACACTTACTCTTGTCTGTGGCATCTGTGCTCATCGATTTTTCCTGGACAGTCATGGTAATCTTATCCGAGGAAAATTTCAGAATCTTCTTGTGGGCTGCAGTGTTCTTATCTTCATTGCCATCGCGCTTACCGTACTTTCCACTATTGTTGTGCTACATCTGACCAATGTTGCCCAATGGTTTCCATTTCTCAACAATCTATTGTGAACAGCTCTTCAGAAAAGACTGTATAACTGATTTCATATTATAAACAATAGTGTCTCGTAATATTTATGCTATTTAAATGGTTTTTAATAGTACATTTGTTTGTAATATGACGCGCATTCCGAGGTAGATATTTTTGAAATGGCCAATAAAGTTTTTGTTTGCTTATTGATGAAAAACATTGAATTATCAATTAATGCCGAGGTTAACAGAAAGTCGGTCTTGGCAATAAAGTTTTCATAACTTGTTCTGGAATCCGCTATAGAAATGAGGTCAGGATATAAAAAACATGACAACATGATGCATGACTTATATGGCTTGGCTAAATTCAATTTTAATAAGCTGCCATGACGATAAGAAAGCTGAGCTAGAGTCTCGACTAACCGCATGAAGCCTTATCCTCTTGGAAGAATCCTGGTTACAGTAGATGAACTTCTATCTAGCGATTATTGGTCGCCGAAAGCTTATGAAAAATTGGGAACAACCTAGCACAGCTCTCTTAGAATTATAACAAGAACAGCGCTCGAATGCTGTCCAACAATCCGAAAAGACAGGAGGTCATAGGTCTTTAAGTCACAGACAAACCACAAATGAGCCCACCTCTCTATGGATTACAGCTGCCAGAGAATGGAACGTATGGAACAGATTCTTTACGACCAAGTAATGGATAGTCCTGGAAGCATGTGCACACTTACATAGATGAGTTGTGTTCATAGGGACTGCTTGTCTTAGAGCTTTCCCGTATATTTCGTTGCCTTGCAGAAGTAATCCGGGGAAGGAGTCAGATTCGTGCTTCAGCTGGAGTGGAATTTGAGTATTCGTGGACTTTTAGACCCACTGATATATTAGAAGTATTTTCCTGGAAACCTGATATACGGCACTCTCAGAATGTCACCGTAAGCATTTTGAAGCAATAATGAAATAGGCAGAAGGTTTTTACTTTGCCACTCAGCTTCTTCCGGAATAACGATGGTTTCTACAAAATAAAAATGCAAACGGGATTTGGTATCTAAGTTGTCCTTGAGCGGGCGATCATTTTTTTTCGTCCTACTTTCGTTCATGATTTCAGTTTTAACGTCTTCTGCTAATCAACTAAGTAGGAAGACCGAACGAAGGATTCGTTGCCGAAAAGATGCTGTTTTCGGATCGAAATTACGGTGAAGAGCTGGGCTCTTCAAAGATTAAGTCAGGACTCCAGGAAGGATCAAACGGCTCAACCAGCTAGCCTCAGTAGCCCGTACACCGGATGCTTCCGCCTATGATGTCAAGAGGTGAGACCGGTGAGGGGCCACAAAGTCTCGGGTTACGCAGCTCGTCAGTGGAATCAGATCTGACAAGAAGTACTGGAACGGAATAAATAATTACTTTGCAGATCTTAATGATGCTGAGATATTAGCAAAACTCCGGACCGCAGGTGTATGCGGTGGGGAACGAACGCGCTATTGTCCTTTCCGGGGAGTAGCGCTTTCACCACCACACCATGCGGGCTCTTCGTTTTGCCTGTCTCTCAGCTAGTTCTATCGATCTTTGCCACAGCAATCACCAGTCAGCGCGATTGATCTCTGGGGGCCCGAATCGGCAACGAACCCAGTTAAGCTGAGGCCGTAGTTATAATCACAAGTTTAGCTTATTATTTACTGCCTACTTTTTTAACGGCAGGTTATACATTGAGAAATATAATTTCAATGATGATGAAGTTATATTTCGCAATATATAACCTGCCGTTAAAAAGAGTAGGCAGTAAATAATAAGTTAAAATTGTGATTACTTTGCAGATTGTTTTCTAGATTTTCTCGGTGCAGGTAAGCCACTAGTATATGATTTTATGTTCTAGAACCCCAAGACTTCCCACCTCTGAGAATTGTTCTTTCCCGTGTCCTCCTGTGATCGTCTTTACCACCACGAGATAATATCAGCTTTAAACAACTCGTATAGAGGTGCAGGTTCTATGCATCCAAACGGCAGATGGGCTACTGCAGAGTGACAGTTATCGAACTTCCAGAAGTCATGCGGCACCATAGTTCTCAACCAGTTATTGCCGACTTCATTGTCATAATCATCGTCCTTCTTGGACGATGTATTATCTTAGAACTCCTCTAAAGAAGGAAAGTAACAATGGATGAAGAAGCTCAGCTCCCCTTCCGTTGACAAAACGTTGGCAGTGTTGAAATCCCTTAGTCCCCTTAATAACAAGAGATAAATCTCTTTGAAGTTGTCTCTTAGTATGTCTAGTTCTTCATGTTGCAGTTATTTGTTAGGTGAATTAAAAAATGGTGCAGAGATCGTGCTCGTAGCTCCATCTCTACCTATGTGGCGTTCAATTCTAGGCACGCACTACATTTTGTCATTTAACCCTTGTATTTCGTGCACCTTTCCCACCAGTTATTTTTCGTAATCGTTCAATAACCTACCGCTTAATCGTGTAAGAAGGACGAATGTTCATTCATAGTAACAGCTTGTTTTGGGTGTTAAAGCACAATTTTTGATCAGAAATCATCACAGTCAAGACGAGGAAGGATATGACTTTCAACCAAATGTGGACAAATCCTATGAATCGCCGCCGGTCTGCATGAAGCGTAATCGCCGTGTGGTGTATTTCCTTCTCTGCTGTAGTAGCCCCGATTTGCTGCATGAGGACCTGGAATGGTAGTTCGTTGAGAAAATTCCTACCCAAACTCCAAAGATCGAAAGCTGTTTTTATTTCCGTAATATAACCCGTGCATATATGAAAATAAAATAGATGAAATTCGTTCACACGGAATGTATTATCGCACTTCAGTTCAACAGATGTCCACTGACGTGGTAATATGTCATTTCATGAAGGATGAAACATCATGCAATCCATAACGTTGTTGTCTTCCAAAGTGATTGCATCGATTCCGTTAGAGTAAAAATTTGGATGAGAGAAACGCAAAGCAAGGGGTTCGTAGGTGCAAAGGGACCACGTGATCTCCGAGAAAGGGCAATCGTGAGTTCGAATCTGGCCTGGAGTACACGTTTTATAAATATTTGAGCATCGCTATTATCTAACACCTTTTTCTAATTTACCTTAACTAAATTGATTTGTTTTTAAAAAATCGACTTTGAATGAACCACGTCACGAATAATGAATCAGTGATAATCAGACATTTCAGAACTTTAGTGGATAATTCTTAAGCACAAAAATATTAACGGATCTCTTGAATTTTGTCCCCTCATAGTAAACGGAAAATCTTCTTGGCCGACATCCTTCGGAATGATTGCTAACAAAGACCGTTTTCCGATAGCGGCAGATTAAGGTGCCAAGACACTGTGTTCGAGACGGGCATAAAGGATTATCATGATAGAGTGACTGCCACCAATGTTATCTAGAAGGGTTACAGTTTATTAGAGTTTCATCTAAAGTCGTGAATCATCAGAGAGTTGCGCTTATTTAGAAGCCGTTCATGCAATATGTTAAGGTGTTTGTATGGAAGCTCTCAACTAGATAGTGCCATGTAACATTTAATTTCCTTAATATCTCCAGATTCATTTCTGAACAGTTAAATAATCAAAAACCTTATCAGTTTTTAGACATTGTGCAAAAATCATTTCAACCCAACATTCTAATACGTTAGTTTTTTGGGACGCTTCCTCAGCTTGGGAGATCACGCCAGAGGATGAATACCCCGCTGTATATTGCAGTCCGACGCCAAGGAACACCTCCCAGCTACGATGAGGCGGTAAACCGTTCGGAGGATATACACATATATACATATTCGGTATTACTTTTATTACCACTACTGGGTGACGATGGTAATTGCCATTGTTATTAAACGAGAAGTACAATGCATTCGCGCTTGATGAATCACTGAGTAGTACCATGCATTCATCATCACTGAGCCGAATAAACATCATAAAGGCGACTGAATGCATATTTGGCCTATACAATAACCTATAGTAAAGAAGTTATTTATAAATTCATTATTTTACCCTTCAAAACAGGTCTGCTACCAAATTACCAACTCCTGCAGGAAAGGGGCTTCGTAAGACCAGGGTGTGCGTTCGAACCAGAAATCATGTGTGTTGTAGGGACTCTGGATCTCTAACCATTGCGCTGAACGCTCCTACTATTGCCACACTTTTCTTGCTTCAGGGAAATGTAGCACAGTATCGAGCAAACAGGCGAATTTTAAGGGATAAATTCATCCTTTGATGAACGAGGGCAAAAAATTTCCTGTCTTATTATAAGTGGCCAATCATTTAAAAATCAAGCTTGGCAAGAGGACTTCACAAAGCAGTAAATCCTATAGCGCAATAGTCCTTCAATCTATTTGTTGCTGAAGAGAAAGTCGGTAAATGCGCAAAGCGCAGTTGTGTGCCAGTGTGAGCTTGTTAATAAGGGACTACCTAAGTGCTAAACGATTTCACCTGGTATTATATTACTGGGATGTACCTTTAATTTCAGCTCTCTCATAGTTTATTTTAGTTGTACTCTTAGAAGAGAATGCAGTTAATCACCTCTAAGCTTTATGTTCTAATTTCGTAGAAGTGCTTAAATAGTGAATGTGGTAAAACCATACTTACTGAGATGCAAAAATGAGAATTTTCAGCTAATAGCACTAATGAAAGCAACGAGACTGCCAATCCCATTATTCCAGTTTCTGAAGGTGATAGAATCTAATATGATCTTTTTTGGCCGTCTTGGGTATGTATTACTCAGAGATTTTTCAGTTTTTGATTGTCATACTGGTCTATTATAAATCAAAGAAATTGGTAGATAAACGAGTGGATTGGAAATTTGTAAGCTAAAACTGGGGAATAAATATCCAGTAACAAACGTTCTTAGTTAACAATCTCTCTATTCTTTATTTAATTAAGGATTTTAGGAAAAGGGAAAGGAAAGGAGTCTTTTGCAAATGAATATGGTGACTTGGTGATGCACAACATCTTAGCGACGCAAGGCACAGGCACCAGAATGATTTTTTTTTAAATACCGTAATAACTTTAAAAAAATCGTAGATTACTGGCCTCTCCATTTAATATCGCCCACAAACAATAGTCCTGAAGAACTATATCTACAAACGACACGATATTCATGTTCTCATTCTTCTGTTGCCCTTTTTTTCTCGGCCTCCTTAATGATTTCTACAATCGGCGCATACAAATCATTCGCTGCTCGTAGTCCCCATATGAAGTCCAAATGAGTGTAGCCGGGCAGTACGATGTGCTTCTAAAGATTTCGGAGAATTATCAAAACTAGATGGTTTTTAAATATTCACTAATCAATAATTCAAAAAATCATGCAAACGGTGATCATTGAAGTGAATTTACTTACCTACTCGATACTTGAGTGGCCCGTCCTCACTAGCCGTGCAGTCCACAGCATAACCTCCATTTTTTGGAGGTTTGTTGGTTAAGCCATTGTGATTCCCTGGAATCCCCAGTTTAGTGTGGCCAAAGTCCGTCCCAGGTTTTCACCACCACAGGCAGTGGCAGCCCTTGTGGATCAGAGGGAGATTTGCCACCATGCAACTTTGATACCAGGACGGTGGTGGATCTTGCTATTGGTTTACTCTTAGCCAAGCCTCCTGATGGAAACGCCGGACTCGTTCTCAGCTTGGGAGACCCTGCCAAGTGGATGAACCCCTTCGCTGTACATCGCAGCCCGACACCCAGGAACACCTCAACCACGATGAGGCGGTGAACCGTTGAAAGGGAGTGAATTTATAAATTAAAAATGTTTCATTGCGCGTCAGTTCTACTTTAAACAGGATAGTGCTTGACTAATCGCTTCCAAAAGACTCAAGGCGTAATGCTTATTTTATACCGCTTTCTGCAACTGACGCATCAGCGTGGCCTATCTTGTATAAAACGTAACAAAATAAGGTATGATACATAAAGTGCATTGAAGGCCTTTTCAGTCTTTTTAAAGGAAAAAAGTAACAGAATATGGCGTAACGAATTCCAATTTCAATCCAAATATTTGGACTCACGACAAGTGTGTGCACGATCCTTGGAATCAAATAGCCGTAAATATCCTTATGGTTAGCTAACCAATCTTCATCTCCGCTATACAGGTAGATTGGGGTATGAATTTGAGTGAAGTTGTACTCAGGTGGATTACTCTGAAACAATAATGCTTAGTGAGCATCGAGGTAAACGGTCTTTCCTTTGCTTTATTTCACTTAATGCTATACCATTGTGAATAAATAAGAAATCTAGTTAAAGACCGCTCTAATCCAAAATTTTTGCAGACATCAGTAATGAACTTTTCGGATATATAAAAAATACTCTCTGGATTATATGGATTGCCCTAATGTGGTAAAGAATGAGAATTTTCCCAGAAGTGCCCCGTAAAATGAACACTAGTTTGATTTTGCGGCCTAAAGGAAAGCGTCAACAATCAACATCAACAAATTGGTCTGTTGGCGCTGTGCTGGATTCCAAGATAACCTACGACATGCGATCAAATCGCTTGCTGGCCAAGAAGGCAAGAATTCGAGACAGATGAGGCTGGTCTGTGATGTGATAAGAACACCAATACGTGCCTTGCAGGTAGCATCAAAACCGCGCCTACGGATTTCAATCTTTGACTCGATATTGATGTCGCTTATCACGTAGCGTGTTGTTTGGTCATAATGCATGAAGCGAAGAACTGAAAGAGGTTTTCAGCTAAAAAATGGGCCAAACACCATATTTTGGATTAATAAGTATTTTTCTTTCCATACCGGTTATCGCGTACACCAATAACTTCCGCTCTATTATAGCTTGTCGCTTAATCATCCAAGGCATGTTACGCGCAGCGAAGTTCTGAAGAATAAAGAGGAGCAACAGGTTGCAGTCAAACTATTGGCCTATTAAGAACCAAAGCACAGCTGTTCAAAGAGAGAAAAAACGTTCTGTTTAATCAGATGGTGCTCCAGCATTTCAGTTGGAATATAACAAAACCATTTCCTTCACTGAAGAAAAACAAACTGTTAATTCGCTACTACATGGTGTAATCCTAGAGTATAGATAGTATGTTAAAGACAAAACAACACAATCATTATGCTTCCACCTTTTCAATTATTTCAAACAAGAGAAGGAAACGAAAGTTCTGACAAAACTGATGGGATCAAGGACTAGAGACGCTCTCCTATACCTCAAGATCAAGAAAAAAACGTTGTTCTGGTATGCGACGCGTGTCAATGACAATTAGTGGGCAAGAATTATTAGAGACCGAATACCGAAGGACACTGTGAACAAAAAGGAAAGATCATCGCCTGGATGGATGCACTTGTTCATTAAAATTGCAGAAAAAAATGGCACTGTGTTTTCGCCATTTTAGCAAGCAGAGCCGGATGAGAACATTTGGCGCGTGATAAAGACCTTAGCGGAGCACTGAACTGTTGAGTCAAGCAGCGATTAATGGGAGAGTAGGTTTGCAGGCATCGATGTAAAGCCTCAGCACCTAAATATAGGGATAAAATGAGAAACTGGTTTCACGGAGTTTTCACAGTGACGTTCGTGGTCGGCAACGTTGACAAACCTGATGGAAATATTTCGCTGTATTTACATACCTTTGATAAAAAAGAATCATGAATACGGTGATGGCTGACAAATTTCTATTTGACTCCTTCAGTCGTTAACAGAAATCAGCCAGTTGAAGGCACAATTTATCCATGCTGTTTCTTTTCTTTGAAGGCTTGCAACAGGCGCAGTTGTATTATTGATGGAAAGCGTAATTGCTTTTTAGGTTAAATTCAGAACACATCTGGAACACGGAATCCGGAATTAAATTAAGGAACGGATAGCACGGCGGTAGTGATATCCATCATCATGAGCATGGTGCAGGTTCAACTGCGCTCCGGCCCAACCAAGCCTCTCATTCCTCCGGGGTCGGAGAATTGGTAGCGGACTTCTCTAGGAAAAAGCACTCCCTGCAATCCAATTCGGAACCCTCCAGCCCGGCTATCTCAGGAATCCAGAGTAAACTACTCAACCAGAATTCTACGACATTCAAGATAAAATGAAAATCTTTAAGCAGAAACCGAGGCCTCACGTAAAATTTGGAGAATCTTTGTGGACAATAGATGCGAGGAAACGAATCGAATGTGAGAACTGCTGGAATCCACACAGTAGATGTGAAGGCAGACCAAATAAAAAGAATTAAAGAATTCCGAAATTAAAAGACTAACTGCCACTGTGCTCTAATGAAAGCTTAATCCAGTTAAGATACTGTAAAAATCTTTCACCTGTCTATACTTTCTGATGTTCTCACGTTTGCCGTAATCGTACTTGGCTACTGTACCCTTCATCACCATTTGTATCCAGTGCCTGACATTCATGGATGAAGTATCTGCCGGAGTATGAGACAAGTAAACAGGAGTTCGTGTCTGAAACCGACACCAATTTCCAATTTTTAGGCATAAACTGATCCCTTCAAATTTCGAGTCAAAGCGCTTTTACTTCGCACTAAAACTTTCAATTCAAACTTAACGGAAAGTTTTTTAATAACAAGTAAAAGTAAATGGTGACACGATGAAAGTGTAAAGCGCATGAAAAATGCACTACTGTAAGGAGGTCTTTAAAAAAGTCCTTCTATTGCTCAACTTCGCTAAAGAGCTCCAATATTTCTTAACTGTTTAGCTCTCTCATTATAACCTGATTTTACTCGTTGTCGTAAAAAAGAGTCATATCACGAAAAGGTATGAAAGCAGGTACTACGTGGAGTTCATTGTTAGCTACTAACCTTGTTCATTTGGTTACCCTCTGGGCCAGATATCAAGAAGATTATATTGTCGCACAACTCATTTTTCACCGCCATTACTCCACAGATCCTGTTTGCAATCAGCTTCATTATCCAGTTGTTGGGGAGAAATTTCCCGGCACCGAATATATCAAAATATAGCTGAAACATGTTTACATCTCCAAAGTTGTCAAATTTGCAAAAGATGAGTGGTTCAAATAATTTTTATTTCAAACACAGTTACACGCAGATAGGAATAAGGACAGTTTTACAAAGTTTAGAGTCATAGATTGTGCAAGAGGTTAAAGGTAGAGTGTGAATGTAAAAAGTATTGTGGTTCGAAAAAGAACTATAAATACAACGTTTTTTCTTTGATGGAATCATTGCCTTTCTTAGCTTATGTCTTGTTTCTTACAGAATCAAGAAAGCACTGGTGTGGTTGATTTGTGCAAAAAATAGAGTCCACTAGGGTTTTTCTTGCTATCACGAGACACCAAGTCGTAGCTATGTTTAAGCATATCTATCTATTCATTTTTTAGCAGTTCACGAAACCAACCATTCGTGACTTCATGATGAAAGAGTGGTACCTCTTGCGTTTTTTGTGTATCAAAATGTTGAGAAACGAAAAGCGTTACCACTTACGTAAAACTCAGGTCTGAGAACTTCTGCCAATAACCTGAGCATTCCCTTAATGTGCGCGACAGAGCCGATCGGTGCAAGCGCGAAGAAGTTCCGAATCTGCAATGGAAACCTTATATTTAACAATTGTACGTTCAAAACAAGGCAAAATAGAACCATGTCCTCAAAAAGTTAATAGAGAAGGAAAACTCAGGTTCTTGTTGTCTCTTTTCTCTAAACAGTTTTGTTATTATAATGGCAATCTTACTTTTTATTTATTGCCTACTCTTTTTAATGGCAGGGCATGTTGGGAAATATAACTTCTATGATGCTGAGATATTTGTAAAACTCCGGACTGCAGGTGTCTGCAGTGGGGAACGAACGAGTTATTATCCTTTCAGGGGAGTAACGCGTTCACCACCACTCCATGCGGGTACTTCGTGTCGCCTGTCTCTCAGCTAGTTCTGTCGATCATTGCAATCGGCAATCACCCGTCAACGGGATTGATCTAGGAAACTAACGGTAGTGTTCGATAGAACTAGCTCAGAGGCAAGTGAAGCAAAGGACCCACATAGTATGGTGTGAACATATTACCCTCGGAAAGGGTAAACAGCGTGTTCGATCTCCAATGCAGACATTTGCGGTCCGGAGTTTTGCAAATATCTCAGCATTATGGAAGTTTTCTTATTGTCTCTCTTACGACGGATTTCTTGCAATACCATTCATTTACTCACTGTTATTCGTTAACGATCCCCAGAAAAATATAAAAGTGCAAATTTCCAAATATATATATATATATATATGTGTATATGAATAGATAGGTAAGAACGTAAAAGCGCTAAAATCTAAGGAATAACAATTGAAAACACGAAAGGAAGAATTCTTTTCCATTCAATACTAGTAGCTGAATTCCTCCACTATCTCAGCACGTGTGGTGAGTATTGAAGAACAGAGGCTTTCCATAAAATATGACAAACCTTTTTCGAAAACACCTGGTCCATAGATAGTTTAGAGAACATGGTTAGTGTGCCCTGAGAATGGCCGATGTAATAGAGTTGCTTCTTTCCGGATACATTCAACGCCTTCTCAATCATCGATTCCAGGTCGTAGTTCGCCATCTCATCCCAACTAAATCACTTGGACTTCATGCCGCTCACTTTCTTTTTCCTCGAAGTTTTGATATAAAAGTGAAGGTGCAGAATGGAAAACGTCTACTGCGTCTAATAACTGATATTTCTATTTACAGCATAGTCAGAATAATAGGGAAGAAATGAAGTACGGGAATAAATATTGATAAAGGAATGAAGTATAGTGCGACTAATTCGATGCGAGATCGATTCAATTTAAGTGGCAGTGCATAGCTATTTAGAGTCCAGAACTTGAACATCATCTTGTGGTAGACCTAATCAATTCTATCAGCTTAAGTTAAAAGGTTAAAGGTCTAGGCGTTGATCAATTCCTGAAGAATGCGCCATGCATTCGGCTTCATTAAGTATCGTTCCAGGTGATCGATATGCATATCTGGCCTTTACAATGAATGACTCGCGGTGTCCTACCGATGTATCGAGCCAATGCTGCTGTCCTTCCAGACAAGTCTGGCACCAATTTGTCAACTCTGGAGGGATGGAAGGCTTGGCGGGCCACGTGCGCGGGGATCGACTCCACGCGTGTGTCGCAATGGTGCCTCCAACCACTGCGCTACACGCTCCCTTCAGCTTAAGAATATTTGACAAAGTATCAAAGATTCAACCAGCAGTTTTTAGACGGTAATTAAACTATTTCAGTTACTTGGAAATCATCAGCAAAGTCGAATCTTTTGCTCTGTCTTCGTATCAAGTTTTACTTATGGCTGCTTCTGACAAATCTTCCCCTCTGCACGTTCTGACGCATTTGTTTCATTATGTCAACGTTATATGCAAATCACTAACGTCCACTTCCAGAAGTTGCTATCAGCTGTGCTCAGATTGACGTGCTTTGTGCTGTAGGTGTTTCCTCTCATGTTTCCAAGCCATACATCAAATCCGGCATCAGCAAACACGAATCCTCGATGAAATACTCATTAAATTTTTCCCCCGTTTAATAACTGTTCATCACGACTTTTATAGCTAGTGGCTCTAATGTAATCAGGCGACCAAAAACAACTCAAAACTGATATGTCTTCTCAGTGGCAAACTTGACCATTTCTCTTTGCACAATTTTCCCACAATCGTTAGAATTCATTTCAAATTGGTCATCTGTTGTCGAAATAGGCTTACCAGCGCTTTCATTCGGCAGATTGGCGACCCAATTGGCACTGCTGCATTCGAGTCCGTGCTGCAGGAAAACGACCGGCCGCGATTTTCTCGATGTCCGATCTTGAAGGAATGCTGTCCGAATATTGTGCTGTCATAATGTTTAATTCTAACAGTGTTACTACTTTTTCCATGTGGAATTCTGTGCAATTCCAGGATGTATCCATCTTCGGTGGCAACGGTGTAAATCTCGGCAGGATACCCCCAGTGTTGTATTATTTCTGGCTAAACATGAATAAGTTTTGCTATTCTGGGAAAACGATTTACAGGTCCGATAATATTTTAATCAAGTGATTTGATAGAGCCAATGAAAAATTTTTCGCTGTCCTACGATCAAATCAACTCCATTCGAGTACAAATGCAACAAGAATAGTATAGAAATGGATAAAATGGAAACTCAAAGCATTTCAAATCAAGAGGGTTACCATCGCAAGAACATTCGAGTTCAAGTCGATAACACTAGAAACTCACGGTCGTCATTTTGCATTCCGGATCTTCGTGTCGTATCCCATAAAATGCGAAAGCAATGAATAGGAAGAAGAGGTTCATTGGTAAACGGCTCTGCTATTGCAATACAGGACGACTGTTATCTATTCTGAATTAATCCTTGTTGCTTTCTTTCAAGATGGTCAAATACTTCTGGGCACATAAGACGACAAAGCGTGACAAGATATCAGTTGCTGATAATCGATTATTTATTGTGTTATCAGCACCGGACCTCTTATTCATAATGGGAAGCCGAGAGTGGAAATAACTTTGTGAGCATCTGCGGAAAGTCGTTTTCGTCCAAAACTGCATTACTTGCCTTCTTTATCCGCAAAAAACATTTTGTAGCCTTGTGAGCCATTATATTACTAGTCGTCGCAATACACAATACTGTGAAATAAGTATGATATGAAATACACCAACAAGGATACAGGTGTAAAAGCATAACTAGAAACCTCACATGGGCCTCAAACCCGTGATTGACTTTTCTCATGGCTCACGTCCTGCACATCACATGAACTAAGGCCGCTACTTCACTTTATCTCAGTCAGTTCTTAACACTATTGGTGCTATCAGCAATCACCCGCAAGCAGAAATGATCTGGTAAGCAGAAAAAACTGATAGAGTGAAAACATGCTTGACAGGAAGGAAAGGCAAGGAACCCGGGTGGTGTGGTAGGTAGCACGTTAGCCGTAGATAGGAATAATCGCCGCTTCGCACCCCAGCTGAGGATCCCAGTTTCACTCACAACTTCGCATTCTTCTTTTCGTGTTTAGCAACATAAATTGATACAAAAATATGGAATAAATAAACGGCAAAACACTAAAATGAATATATATGTTCTTAAGAGCTACCCTTTTTTAGCCGACGCGAGGCTGATACAGATGTTCTTATAGCTGTTGCTGTTTTTGTCGGCAGCAGACCACGGCAGCAACAACAATAAGAACATCTATACCGACCTCGCGTCAGCTAAAAAATGGCAGCTCGTAAGGACATACATACAGATATATCGATTATTATTCTAAAGCTTATGAGCTTACCTTTTGTCGACCTTCTAAGTCATTAAAATGAGTATTTTTAACTTGGACAGTTTTTGCCAAGGTATCGTGCAAAACCTCCGAAAGGTTTACCGCCTCATAGTGGCTATGAGGTGTTCCTTGGTGTTGGACCGCGATGCACGGTGGCATGATTCATTCCACAGCTGGGCCTCCAAAGCTGAGAAGGAGTCCGGTGTTTTCATCAGGAAGTCCAGATAAGAGTAAACTAATTCCAGGGTCTACTTCCGGCCTGGTATCGAACTAGTCGCATGGTGGCAAATCTCGCTCTGGGAGATCCACAAGGGCGACGGCTACTTGTGGTGGTTACAACCGGGGGCAGGATTTGGGTACGCCGACCTCCGGGCTCCCGGAAATCACAGTTGCTATACCAGCAAAATTCCGAGAAAATGGAATTTATGTTGGGGTCGGCACAACCAGTGAAGGAGGGCCATCCAAGTATTCAAGTAAGTGTCGAGCACGTTATTATACTTCCATTCCATAAATCTCCATTGCGGTGATTTCCAAGCCCACAAACCGGCAAGTAGCCTCTTCATAGGGGAGACTGGGTGGTTAAAAGCCACTATGTATTGCTATTAAAAAGCCATTAAGGGTACGGAACATCTATATCTGCAAAGTTGGTTTATAAGGGATAAAAAGGATCATGCCATTGGCGTACTTACAATATTTATTGACAGTGTATACCCAATAATGGCCAACGTATCTGCGGTTCTTCCTTCTTCAGAGCCTGGAAAGGTCAGGTTGATCCACAATCTACTCAGCTATACAATTCATAAACCAAGCAGAAAAGAGCCAGTGCACAAAGTTCATTTCCCCACTAAACGGTTTCTTTTAAACACCAACCGTTTTAAATCCAAGATCCAACTTCCTGAGGGAAAGGAAGATCGAGGGCTTCAGCAGTGTCGTGCTAAAACGTGATCTCCCGAAAAACTAACCGCCGTTGGATATGGCATAGGACACAAGCTTTGCAAATGCTGCAGAATCATAGTGGTTTTATTTCACATAATGGTCCAGCCGCAAAAAAAAACAATGGGCAGTAGATAAAAGTAACATATTGTTATTTTGACTAACCGCTTCGTTCTTTGTAACTCTTTCACTTGCTTGATGGAAACCAGAAGTGGATAGTCCTACATGAGTGAGGAATGTGCCTGGCTCGAGTTCGAAAATCTAAAAACCGCATAGTTACTTAATAAAACGCATAAATTGGTATGCGCTGATGATCATGCATCTACTGACCATTCAAAGCTAAAGACTTACCACCATCAGCTGTGCAGACGGGCCCATGGATAGAAAAGCTTGACTTATAAGCCTAGTACTTATTTGACTCTCCAAACACACTCCAACTAATCCTACAAACACGCAAATATTCCCGGATCGTCGGCGCAACACGGGTTAATAGCGTGTACATGTTCGAATCGTTCAACGTTACAGCCCTTTATATAAGTGTGTCGAATGGCTTTTCTACAATGCATACTATCCACGAAGTTCGTATACAATACGAAAAGGCAATAAATATGTATGGCATTTCCATTCGGCAGCTGATGGCCTCTTTAAAATAGTGCTTAAACTGCTCTCTCTTCCCATGGTTCAGAAAATATAAAGCACAAGTGAAAAGATTGGCAGTGGGATAGCGACTGGCATCAATCCTTACCACTGCATTTGTATCTGGCAGAGATGCTCCTTTAATGGGTTTTTCACCACAGCTCTACTATATAAATATATGTGTCGACACTGTTTCATTATCTATTTCAAATGATTACGAAACCGTAGCATCTCCGCATAGGCATAGAGGAAAAACCACGCCCCAGACCGATAATTCTAGCGAAAACAAGGTTCCGTTCCTCTTGCCCTTTATTTCAAACGAAATAAGTGCAGCTATAAAACGTTGCTTAATAAGAGCCGGTCTAGAGAATTCCGTAAGAGTGATAGAAATACTATCGGACACTCTAAGACGCCAGCTAGTTCGCAACCGCCTATATAACCGTCTATGTGCAACGAAAAATTGGATAATTTGCCCTAACGTTAGAGACGGTGATTGCGTGAGTTCGGGTACAGTCTATCTGATCTCTTGTAGAGTGTGCGAGGACGATAAAAGAACACCTAGTCGGTAAATCTAAATTAAAACTAAACAATCCACTAGGCGGGCATAGGATGCAGGAACGCAACAAAGATTTTGAAGTAGGAGTCACTATCCTCACGCACGAAGCGAGAACATCAGCGCGTGAAACTCTTGAAGCGTTTTGGACCAACTCCGAAAATTCAAAAGTGAACAGCGAGGAGTGTCTTGTCGTCACACGTGACCTGGGGCCATACCTCAGGCTAATCCAATGACCTGACACAAACACAGTTATCGCCCATGTATTACTCTGTGCGGCTGCTATCCATCAACTAACTTAAATGCTTACAACAAGTAAACGGTAGGTGTTTAAATAAAGCTGTTTCTTATGCGAACACAATTTTATTTGTTAAGTTTTATCTGCTAGGGTTACGAAAGTGTTTGGCTGAGTGGATCGCATCTAATTTGACCCTTCCAAGCTCTGAAGAAGGCGAAACCGCCGAGACCTCAGCTATTGCGTCCTAATAAATTCTATAATACCAGCCTCGTGTCTGCTTATTGAAGAGAAACATCGGATTATCCTAGGAATTGCTGATGTTCCGAAGGAAGCCGCTTGACAAGTCTGCAAATCTCCTATAACGCTCGCCGCCAAAAAACTACTGAGGATCTAGGAACACGAAGGTAGACAACGGGATCATACAGCCGTAGTCGAGATCACCGGGAAGTTCGACGATCACTAGTGATGGCGGTTAAAAGATTATGAAGCGAAAGTCAAAAAATAAAAAATGTTAGTACAGCGCAGTGATAAAATGTTCAAGACGAAAATATAGGTTTCTTTTGCTTTTCTTCAAATTTGTGCTCGCAAAGCTTTCATTCAATGCTATTGCCATTCCGGCTTCTTAGTTTTTGGCCCCGGTACATTAGAAATTTTCCAGAACAATATGGTTAGTTTAGAACAGAGAGAACGGTACCACTGAAGTAGAGTCGACTCCTCTCATATTCCAAAATGACAACTGCCTTTTCCTTGACGTACAACGACATTTGAAACAACATTCGCGAATATATCAACTGTTCAGGCATTTAGGTTCATCACTAAATTTATAATTAGGCAGCTTTTTCTTTCCTTCCATGAAAACAAAATTTCATTTTATGTGTTTTTGCTTAGTTTATTTCCAAAATGTCTTTGTTTTCGTGGCAGTGACAACCACGAGTGTCAAATAACAGCGCTCCCACTAGCAGCCAATCAGAGTGTTGACCGTTGGCAACCCAGCCCTACTACTCTCAAGTGGTTACATAGTACACTTCATTCAGAATGAGATTTCTTTTTTTTTTGATTCAGTGATTTTTTTCCTCGCACAGGGCACTTGGTCGTACAAATTCCGCTCATCTCGTCATCGTTTGGATAAAGCTGCTTTTATTTCAAGCATATTGTATTTACATTAATATAACACTTGCAACAAACGCCTTTACTTTACTAGTGACGTTTACATTTGAAATCGATTTTTCAACAACCGAATAACTCCCTGAAATAAGGCGCTTAGGTCACAAACACAAAAAGACTTAAAACGAAAAAAAAAAGTATCAAGGTAAAATATTTTAACGAAAAGAAAATCTGAGCAACGAAAATATCTTTCCTACTGATCGATCAGATCTGAACTACTGTCTGGAAATAATGTCTTGATTAATTATAAAAGCTCAAACCAAATTCTCTTAGAACCTAGAAATTTTTCTATTAATCACACTGAGAAGACGATTTTTAGGAAAACTCAGCAAGCACCTCAAATTTTGATGAAACGTTGATGCCTGCCGTAGCACCGAAGGCTTTAACCTAACCTCAGAGAAATAACACCAGTAGAGGGTTACTTAAGATGTTACACCGTTAAATACAGTGTCGGAATTGATGTGCTTTGAGATATCTGCCAAATAAAACGTAGAAGATAATAGGTTCGGCC